TACAAAGAAATGTATGGAGCGATGTTCGATGTTGAGTGTATGACGTCACAGACTCCAAAAAATAATCGTAAAAATATCATACTTTCGTTCTGAATATCGAGAAAACACTTCATACAGTGATTATTGGACCTTTAAAGAGTATTCTTAGGAAGTTTCAGCTGAATCCAAGTTTGAGCGATTTTCGTCATAATAGCACTTGCACTAGCCACCACTTGAATCGCCGATATATGTAATAAGAAGCTCAAAAAACAATAGCAAAAAGAAACACTGCTCAAAAATACCTTGAATCCGGGAAGCAGAATCCATAAAAGTGCGAGTGATGACCACAGAAATTGCATGACGATCGTTCTGTGAACATTCATAATCGCATTTCTTGCTTTGCCAGTGGAACAAATCAAAGGATGGCGGACGGGTTGTACAGCAAGTGCACGTAGCCGGTATCTAAAGTTTTAAAGCTACACGGTACAAGTATTAGAAGTCCAAGATAAATCGGTTCGGATTTCTTTTTGTCGGCAGCTATCGCTTGTAACATTCACCTAATTTTCTTCTTTTCGATTCCAAATGTGTCGGAAAGAGGGCAGAATTTTACCATGAAGTATCCTCAGACGTTTTGACGTATGAGCATGGTTGAAAGATTACACACATTTTATTTATAGTAATTGCGTTACTCAGTTTGTGTATGGTTTGACGTAGATTTAGTGTCTCGCTGCTGAGCAACCGTCACAACTAGTCGTGGTCGATCGCACAGTGCACAAGTAAAACGTGGGCGTTCGCGAAGTAAAATCATTATTCCAAGGGTAGGAAAGTCATAGTTTTAAAGAAATCAATCAATATAAAAATAATGGGTCTCTACTGTTTTGTGCACAAGCAGACCAATTTCGGAAAGGTGAAATAAAATATGAAAAATTTAATACTTAATTATTTTTTTTAAATAGAGGTCAAGATGAGAATTAAGCATTGATTTAACGCTTTAGTATTTTTTCTTTCAGTCTGGTTTCAGTTTTTTATTTTATCCTCTTTTCTTTACTGCAATAGTCGTTTCCTTTATACTTTCCTTTAACTTTTGTTTTTCCAATATTATAATTTTGAGTTTGATTTTGTGTGACCGGAAGGAGGCTACGGTACTACTCGGTGCAATCCAAAGAGGCCATTGACTTGTGAGACTTGATATTTCAAAGTTATGTATGTATGAGTCAATTCCAAAGGTTCCCATCCCCCTCTCCCCCCTCCCCC